ATGTGTGGACCTCAACTCCCAGAATTCCCCAGCCAGCATGCTGGGAGTTGAAGTCCACACATCTTCAAGTTGCCAAGGTTGAGAAACACTGCTCTGTTGCATTATTTTACCTTCTCTATATGCTATAAGACCTACACTTCCCAAAGTACTCCCTTTGATTTTGTTATTTTAACAGCAACCTGCTGTATAAAAATGAAGCATCTGGAGCCTATTGCATCACTTGGTCTCCATGCCAGGAAAAAATGTGTCTACTGCCTGGAAGATTTCTGTTAAAGGCATAAGAATAGGGCCTGTTTAAAAAAAACTGGCAATCCCCAAAGCAACACTAACAATTCATGTCATGTCAGGGAGGGACTGATTCCAGAACCTGTATCCTCAATTGCCTGCAATTCTTCATCAGAGTCATATGTCAGCTTTGGCTAGCAGATCCTCAGATTTGGCATGTTTCATCTTCCAGTTTATTTCCACCACCTCTGAGCAAGGAATTCAGTCATCTCTTCTCTCTTTGTTTAATAATATGGGGACTTGGAAAGATTTCTGCAAATCTGCCCCAGGAAGAAAGTTGCACTGGTCTGATTAGTCCGGGAAAAGTTAAAGGGGAAAATCAGTTCCCTTTGCTGGTGTTACCTGTTTAAAACCCTGCTTCAAACTTCTTCATGCTCTCATGCCTTTTGTCTTGAATCTGTTCAGGTCCCCAAAACATGGGAACACACAGTCTGTTCGTTTATATATAAGTCTGAGCTATCTTGACCTTAATAATTGCCCCTTATTCTTGGCGGGACAGCTATATGGTTTTCCTGGCTCTCTGCCCATCCAACCATGTTATCCTGTGGACAATGCCATTTGTTCTCCTCTCCTCTCCTCTCAGTTTCCAGGAAAATGGGAAGAAGTGAAGGTGTCCGTGGTGCGTCCTGGGCCTATCCCCACCAGTAGTCCATGTGGAAACATCATCCCTGCTGATGACTTGATGTCTACAGCTCTGCTATCCACATCCCGGTAAGTGTTCAACAGCTGAAAAATAGAGATATCTTAGCTTTATTGCTGGGAAAGTGTAGTTCAGACTGAAAAATAGTGGTATCTGTATTGCTGAGAAAGGGAACTATTAAGAGGGATGGATTTTGAGGCATATGTAGGCAGGATCAAGTCCACTCAGTTCTCCATCCTGTTTGATCTAAGGCTGTCCAGGCTGGCTTTAACTAGCTGTCCAGGCTGGCTATTGTTTTTTGGGTTTTATTCTGTACACTGGCCAGAGTGACCTTGG